TTTATTGATTTTTTTGTTTTGTTGGGGGGGGGTATCTTTTGATTAAAGAATGTTACAGACATACAAATGGACAGACAAACTACCCAAATCACTGCACAATATCACAAAGCCTGGTTGATGAATAGGAAAATAATGGTAATTTTTTTTTAATTCGTCACAAATAATAAAAGTGGGGAATATTCCTGTTGCAATGCTATTTCTATTATCACAAAAGAAAGTCTGTTGTGTTCAGTCATACAGTCACATTTCAAATACATATATTTTGCCAGGGGGAAAAAAAAGAAGAGTAGTGACAGAAAAAAAACATCATTGTTGCCAATTTCAAGAGAAAAGCTGAGTCATGCAGCCCCTTAAAAAAGGAGATTTTGCTTGGCGAGTCGTTGGCAGCAGTGTGAAAGAGCCAAGTGCTTGAGACGGAAGTTGATTGATCAGTACGCCTGGCTGGGCCAAGCCAGGCAGCCTGGCTTCAAGGCATGGCCAGTCTCCTCCGCTAGCTCATAGCAACTTGAACTGTCTGCTATCAAAGATTACATTAAAAGTAGCCCACACTATTTTGGATAATATTCTTTAATCTGTGATAGAGAGGGTTTCATTTCTTTTGAAGTACTTGTATGTGTTGAGTAGGCCTTTTGAACGATTTTTGTCACCACAAAATCTGACTGAAGCACTTATTGCCCCAATGGTTATCTGTACATTGTGAAACTAAAAAACTTCATATTATTTAATTCTATAGAGTATGCAGAATTGCAGATAACGGTACTTCCATAATTTCAAGAACACTGTACTAATGGTCAATCAGTAGTCTGAATTTGAAATTTGCAACTGTATCAGTTCATTTCATTTTGTATTTATTTCACAAACCATGATGAAATGGAAACTGTATGAATACAGCATATAAATCTGACGGTATGAAAAAGTTCAAATATAATAATATACATATAAATATTGATAGATCAAAATCAAAATTGAGGGGTAAACAGTATTGAGGAGTAGGCCAACATTTACCACTGAAAATGTAAGCGATATACATATTTGCTTGTAAAAAAAAAATGATTTGGTGCACTAGGAGTATGCCACTAAATGATCAAGGTTAAATAATGTGCAGAAGGTTAAAGTTGACTCTTTCAATTCCTTTGTAATAGACCTCAACTAGGAAAACACATTAGACAAGAAAGGTCAAACTTGCATGTATCCATGAATATTTTACAAAATAACACACTGTATAAGTTTTTTATAGGGCCACTCAGTTTTTATTCTCCCTTGGTTGTTGCTGTCCAATCCATTTTAGAATGACATTTCACACAAGCCCAAAATATATTGCCAGACTGAAACCATTTTCAGGAGAAATGTGCCTCAGAAATATGAACATGATTACTGTCACGTCTGCAGTCCCGTGTTTATGATTGCTTTGTATGTTACATTCAATCAACACACGTGATGTAACTATACTGTAAGACAGAGAAACAATAACATCCATTAATCCTTTCACATGCAACCAAACTTTTGTGTCCTTCATCTTGACTAGCACTGAAAATAGTTGGGGGCTTGCCCCCTTGCAGGAGTGGCAGCTACTGAAATAACCACCTACTGTAGAGCTCTTCCTAGAATGTATTCTTCTTTCTTAAAACATTTTTCTTGGATGGAAATTTGTACAGTAATACAAATGAAAGGAATTCATGTCTACAACCTGAAACATACACTGTATGTAAAAACAGGATAAACTACAGTGATACATGTATGTATCCTGGCAGGAAAATTTTTTATTCTGAATAGACCATTTTCATAATGTAAACATATTCAATGCACATTATATTTCAACAGTCTGAATGCAAATTGGATTCATTAAATGTTGCTACAGTAACAAAGCACTTAACAAAGATTTGTCTATACAATTTGATTACATTACCAAAATGGCTCATTACATACTGTACTTACTACTTTAGGTCTGTACACATAAATATTTGCATCCTTAGTATCAATGACTGGTTTGCAACATTCTCAGCTTTTCTCTTCCATTATTCTGAAGAACTCACACCCATGAGAAAACTTTTCTACCCTTTAATCCTTATACTCCCAAAATAATCTTCACAAAAATAATCCCCTATGATTGGACAGCTTGTTGAAACATGGCGTTTATCCATTTATCCATCAACGACTACTGAACTAAAAATAATCTTGCACACTATTGTTATCCTGTCTTGCCAACTCTGAGCAATGGTGATGTCTTCACGCTATGGGAAAGACCCCCACCCTTTACCGAACATGTCGGAATGTGTCGACCACAAAGTGCAGCAGTGACTGACCTCAAGGAAAGACAAATGTTCCAAACGTTTGCATGTATTGTACATGTACAGGTATGTTTGCTTCGACTCAAATGTGAAAACATGACATTGCAGTAAGCCAATTCATAGTAGTTACATCATAAATCTTCCACCGTAGTTGGGCTGCTGGAGGTAATGTACAAGTACAATGATATTGGCCTTAGATGGAAAAGAAATTGGTTTTTCAGAGGGAGGATGGGGGAGAGCTACTGCAGAATAATGTTTTTGCTGTTGGTACTTGTTCAATTCGGTTTCAGTAACGGTATAGTAGATAGCAGTTAAGTTTCCTTTCTCAACTGGATTGATTTTGTGCTGTCTTCTGGTACAAACATTTCTTACATTAAATTTCTGTCTCCTTCAAACACAGTAACAAATTATTTTATTCAAACCTTGCCGCTTTAGTTTATGTTTTGGGTTCTGTATATCGTTCGGAGTCAATTCATTTGACACAGAGTTAAGCCCTTGTTGCTACAGTACTAACGATCAATTTCTAACATTTTGGTATGGTCATGATGAAACATGTAGTTCAATTGTCTTGTCTCAAAGATTTGTCTCAAAATTTAAGAAAAAAACATCCTTAAAGTTTGAACAAATCTAATGAGTGTAAGTACAGGGAAAATGGGTGTCGATTTCAATCAGAATAACAATTATTCTACACACCGCTGTCAAATAACTCTGAAATCAACATCTGTAAGAAACCAGAAGGGCACTAACGCTGTGTAAAATGATATTAATTAATGCCCTTCTGGCTCCAAACAGACCATTAGTTGATGGGAGGAAAGAGTTCAATAACCCATCTACTGTAGGTGTATGCTATCGAGCGGCTTCTAACAATGGGTAACACTAGGAGTCAACATGTAGGCTGATCGGTTGGGCAGAGGGACTTTGCACTCTGCCTTTAATTGTCAATTACACATGTCTTCTTAACAAAAATTCATGTTCATTGCTTATTATGTACATGTAACTTTCTTAAGTTCCTTTTCATTCAACTTGTAGTACAAAATGAAGCCCAGCAATTTCCTAGATCAAACCAGTTCTAGAGAATCTATTGTTTGTACTCTATCTACAGTACCCCCCCCCCCTCTATTCCATATTTTCCAGAACAGACACTTTATTTCATCTCCATGTCATATATGACTGGGGACACAGAGATAAAATAAAGTTGTCTTCATTTTTCAGTGCAGTGAAAAAAAACCCAGGTGAGACGTGAGCACTTTAGCCCTCAAAAAGCTTCCAAAGCTCAAGTAAAAAAACGATAAAATAATTGAAGCTCTCGCATACCTCATTCCTATCAAAGTAACACAGATAATCATTCAAAAGATAAAACTCTGAGATAAACTGAGTGAATACATGGAGGCCCTTTATTAAAATGTATTTATATATCATTTCTTTGTGATTGAATTTTAAGTTACAATGTAACTCGAAAAGCCTTCAGAGTAAAAAAACTATATCCTTCATGTAGGCCTGCATGTATGCCATAATAATCATGTATTGCTGTTTCCATCAAATACAATTAAAATTGCTGTTTCCGTCAAATACAATTAAAAACCTCTGTGCTTCGGAACTAGGCGACAGGGAAATAAATTGGCAAAGGGAAAAAACCACAACAAAAGTCCTACTTGTGTAAATAATTAGAGCAAATGATGAAGTAGGATAGACAACAGAAACAGAGTGCAGTGACACAAATATCTAAATCAGACATTCACAGACATGACTTATTATGAATGGGCACCACGTTCAAGGTTATGGATGGGTCTCTTGCAAACCAATGAATTACTCATCCCTCGTGAAAATAATACAAAACTGCTCATGGGAAAGGAAATTGGTTAGTCATTAGCGTGCTGGTTGGACACCGCACTCAATTGAAAGTAGTTGGTAATGATAGTTTTTTTTTTTTTTTTTAAAGATACCTTTGGTGACAGTGTTTCGTAAATATACTAGAAGAGCGAAACTGGCAATCACACATTTAACAAACAGAAGCGTTGAATATTCGCTTGAAATTTCTTTATCTTTTTTTGAGAAGTCTGTGTTTCATGAATGCACTAGAAAAAGGAAAGTAGTATTTACACTTTGAATAGAGTTAAAGTGAAATCAAAACCGAAATGTACTGGTAACCTATTCTAAGAGACAGAAAAAAAGTCAGAGAAGCAGAGTTATGAAAGTTTGAACAAAATCGGACAAAATAAGAAAACGTTACGAATTATTGAGCGATGTACATGTAATCGCTTCAAATTGGCTGAATTGACAGTGTCACTGGCAGTGCCGGACAACTTTTGCATGTACGTTCCAATACCCAAAATGACTAAATTGTTCATTTTTCAAATCATATGACTCAGGAGGGTATTTTCTTTTAGAAAACCTTTGATAATACATGGTATTTAGTATCCACAATATGTTTTGAGACGTGCCTAAGTAGGCACTTTAATTCATGATATTTTGCACTGGACAAATGGGAGAGTTGTCTGTGAATACGTCAAAATCCAGTGATCAAATTACCAATTGGCAATTTGCATAGATTCAGTGATCTCATATTTCAAATACTCATAACTTTCTTGTAATGATCCGATTTATTTCAAACTTTGGCCATTCTGTGTCTCCAATTTGTTTTGCTTTCATACAAATAAAATTATTACAATGAAATTGTTGTCAATTGGTTGATGAAAATCATGCAATACTCACTGAAAAAATCCTTCTTGCTGATGTTCTTAGCACATAGAACTGTAATGAAACAAGATAAAAAGGGGGAGAGAAAAATCATAAATACATGTTATTAAAGAATATTTTGTTTTAGCACTGGAAAACTGCTATGGATTTCTGATCTCATGATGAAAAAGGATATTCCATTAGTAATTACACCTAAATACATTTAATAATAATAATAATAATTAGCTTTTATATAGCGCTTAATACAAATGTCTCTAAGCGCTTTACAAATATACTAGCAGGACCCGCGGAAATCCGCGGGATTCTAGAGGGGGGCGGGGGGTGTAAATAGATATATAGAGACTGTCTAAATTAAAACCACCAAGAACTTTATTTGCCATTCAGGCCATTAAAAAAATATACATGTTTAGCGTCCCCGCCCGCTTCCTTTTTGGGGGCCACCTCCTATATATATATTTTTTTTTAAACAGCTTCCCCGCCCGCTTCCTTTTTGGGGGCCACCTCCTATTTTTTTTTTTTTGAAATTTTTTTGAATTTTTTGATAGAAAAAAAACAGCGTCCCCACCCGCTCCCTTTCTGGGGGCCGCCTCTCCTATTTTTTTATTTTTTTTTGAATTTTTTTTTGGATTTTTTTTTTTTTTAAAGAAAATAAACATGAAAAGCACTGCTAAAATGTATTTCTGATCTTAAAAAAGAAAAGAAAAAATTGTCGGCTGCCATCTTGAAAAATAGCCTGAATGTCAGGGAAAATGTACGGGGCAGCCATTTGAAAGAAAAAACAAAAAACAAAAAAAAGGGCCTCGATCCTCCTTCCCATTTTTCAGAAAAAACAGGACGCTAAACATGTTTTTTTTTAAATTTGGCCTTATATAAAAAATTTAAAAAAACGATCCAACTGTACCGGTAGTTATTCTTTAAGCCACTGGAACTGCGTAGAGTTCCGTAGTGTGGCGTACCGACTACGCAGAAATTAGGCTGCGTATTAATGGGAAAATAGTCCCTGCGTAGGTTATGCGTAGGCTGGCGTACAGGTTTGCTTATATGGTTGCTTACTGTGTGGAAAGCTTTCAGTGCTTTGACGATCTGGCGTAGGGTAGCATAGTGTTGCGTAAAAAGGCGTACTTTCTGCGTCAAGTTTCTACGCTGAAAGTACGCGAACAAAATTAAACATGTTGACTTGTTTTCGTTCATCTTGCGTACCCCTTTCTGTCCCTCAGCATATAGTAACGTACGTAGGCCAGCGTAGTTGGTAGCAACACTACGCAACTCCACGTATTGACCCCACGCCAATTAGTGACCCGCAAGTGTCACAAATAAAGTATTAAAAATATGCTCATCTGACCCTAATTAAACGCCTAAAACCCCCGAGCTTTTGGGGGTTTATGGCCCCTTGAAACCCGTGGACCCACGCCTATATTGTATATACACTCAACTCGCTGCGATCTGATCTCTCCCCCCCCCCCCCACTTTGAAGAACGTAACCCCCGAGCTTTTGGGGGTTTATAGCCCCTTGAAACAAATATACACTCAACTCAGGGTTTCAGGTTTCCTTCTTCATAATTGCCTATTTAAAAAAAAAACATTTTTCTAGTTCAATAACTAAGTTTTCATGCATTGATTTGATGCAAGAACTGTAACATAATAGACCCTAGATTGTGATTATTTCTGACCATAAATTTCGATAATTATTTTTCAAAGTAAAATTTTCACAAGAAAATCAGACAGTCGTTTAAAAACGTAGACATTAGTAATACTTTTACTAATTCTAAGCTCAGGTTTCGTAAATCTATTCACGAAACTATATTGAAATCGCGGCAATAATGATGCAAACCAACAGATAACAATTTCAAAGTGTCAAATGTCTTCGACTCGAGCTCAGCTCAGCTGTACTCACACACATAACACTCCAGCGTAACTCCACGAAGCTCGAACACCGGCGCCGCAGGCCTCGGACGCCTGCGGTGCCCGGTGCCAGTGTTGGAGATTCCTGGAGTTACTGCACTGTGATGTGTGGTGACTGAAGTTAGCTTGCGACTGAATTGTCAGTCCAATGGTTTTCTTGTCAAAACTTTCCTTTAGAAAATGATAATCAAAATTGAGTATACATGGCCGTAATAATCACAAAATAAGCTTTGATTTCATACCTCCATTCACGAAAACTATATAAAAATCGTGGCAATCATGATGGAAATAGGTCTCTAAGTTTGGACGTCGACGGGAAGCCCCGTGTATCTCTTGTGCAACTACTACATGCAAAGCACATCCTATAGAAAGATGCTTTACTCTCGGTAATCCCGCCCTTTGCATAGAGTATTTAATACGCAACTTAATGTGAGTGGATAGTCATCGGTCGTGTGTCTACGGATGTAATGTTGAATATCCATGAGGTATCTCTGTCGTCACGCATATCCTGCATTATGCATATCGCGTCTGTTTTCGCCCTGGACGTCGACACGGAGGGGGACCTCGGGCGGAGTATAGCCAATTCCACAGAGTAGACTCTCCCGCGGACGATGGCACCGGGCACGGGAACCCAGAGGGAAGGGTTCAGGAGGAGATAGCCGCACCAACTTGGGTCGGCGATCTCATTAAAAAACAATAGAATACAAAGGCTCGCCGAGACGTCGCGCCCCCCGCGGAGCCTTAGCGTATTACTTATATAGATTATTACCCCGGTCACTGGATTCAGTGCTTGCCGGAAACACTGTGTGCACAATGTCCACTCTCCAGCCAGGCGTTACTTGATGCTCAAAAACTGTTTGACCAACAATGACGGTCGCATCCTACCGGGTACCCATTTAACACCTGGGTGGAGAGTAGCAAGTGCAGGTTAATATCTTGCCAAAGGATATTAGTGTCGTGTCGGGATTCGAACCCTCGACCTTCGCATTTCCAGTCAAGCGCCTTAAACCACTCGACCACGACACAAAGAAATGACACTGTTCTTTATGAACATTAGAAAACCATACCCTGTAATAAAAATAAAGTAAACATAATGACTGGAGGAAGTGGCAAAATGGTCACCATCAACCAGCATTAAAAACAACCAGCTGGCACCCTGGTCATGCTGTTACTCAATGGATTTGCCACATGCAAATTTCACAAATCCAGACAATTTGTGAATTCAGAAAAGTTACATTAGGTCAAATCCAAGTATTATTGTTACGTTCTTGTCCAAGGAATGGAGTGTTTTCCCTTGCACCCAAGCTTCATCAAGAACAGATTGAGGTGTGAATCTTTTTTGAATATTTGTCTGCGCTGCGCAGGACTCGAAAGAAAGGCTGAGAGATAGACAACGATTGCGCCACACCCCCATTTCATCTTCTTTTTTAACAGTACCATACAACCTTACATTAACTTTTTTTCAAATTAATTATTCAAATTTCCCCCATTTTTTTTTTCTTCAAAATTAAAGTAGATGAAGATCACCTTCTGGTACAGTATAAACATGCCTCTTTGAGGACAAAGGGATAAATACCCTCTTGAAATTTCACAGAGACGGTGAAGAGCCCCCATCCTTTGTGTACAAACAGCCGACTTCCCCTTGGGACAGCTTTTGGTTCCACCCCAGTGAACAAGAAATACAAAAGAACCACCCACACAAAAGGAAGTATATGGGACAACAGTTTGTAATACACACACACACATTATGTTTTCTATCCCACCACAATAATTGGTACGATGCACAATGTACACAAGACATGCTTTAGCCTTTGTTGAGTGGGCAACCTGAATGGGGGAACATAGTGTGTGGCACACAATGAACCAGATCTATACAATAATGCATGTGTATGATGTCCATCTACATGTAGATGTGAGCTACCATAGAAAGGAAATAAACAAATATTTATGATTCATGCATGTCATAAATAAAATATAAATGAAGGCCTACAATTAATGTACATGTACTTGTCGGCTCCCATACCTCTCAGGCAAAGTCCATGTTAATGGAATACTAAATACTTTTGACGATCCTTGGTAATATGAGTTGTACTCAAGAACATAACAATCGATATTCTTTGAATGATTGACTGTGTACAACAATATGTACATGTTTAGTCTCACATGTACATGAAAATGAAAATGTAAAATTATGCTTACTTGAAGCAACAGTGTTTAATTGAAAGCTGCAAATACTATTAAAATGGGTAACTATTTGATATTGTTTTAACTATAAATTCAGTAAATAGTGCACCCATGTACAAAGCAAAACTCATATATACTACGTACGGTATGTACATGTCCATCAGTATAACATTTTGGAGCAAGAGCTACATGCATAAAGCACTTACGCTGGCCGATACTGGCAAAACATTTACATGTATAAAAAACATTATCATTATTATTATTACTACAATGCACTCAGATCAATCAGATGCTCCAGTAGGCCAACATGGATGCGGGTACGTATACTGTACATGGAGCTTAGGCCTACTGTATGGGAGATACGAGAACAAGCACATGAAACATACTGTGCATACATGTACATGAGAGTAAAGCCAGACAGATAAAAATGTGTATCTAAGCAACCCATCTGTGATCTCCGCCTTACGGGTCCAACAACAGCAGGCATATATATATCTATATAACACAGATGTTCAAGATATATAGGGCCTATTATTTAGGGATCAGAGATGGAAGAAATAATTGATCTTTTCACTAGCCCTTTATGTCTGGACTATGCCTCAAATTGATCCAGCATCTCTTTACGCCTTTCGGTCAGTCGCGCTCTCGAAAATCCACTAATCATTGCAAAAAAAACAATAGAGCCTATAGTTGTAATTGTTAATGCAAGGTTGAGATGAAAATTTATTATGTTTTAAACTTTATAAAAATTACAGGTAGATGTGCCACCATTGCCAGCGATCTTCTTGGTTCCACTGGAAAGTATACGCCTCCGTGCCAGTAAGTATACATGTGTAAAATTTACTATCCACCTCAGATATACAGGTACCGGTATGACTGCTTACAGTTACATGCAAATGTTTGAAGTAAATTGTGTAGAAAGTGATTGGGCCATAAACCTAATGATCTGTGACCACAGTAGTTTAAAA